CATACAAACCTACCCCTTTTTTTAAAAGCTACATAACATTCCATAGTACACAGATACCAAAATTTATTTGTGGTTATCTTCCGTTTTTTATTATAAATGATGCTACAATAGACTTTGCTCATACTAACTTGTGTTCTCTTGTGGGAATATTATAGATTCCTTGAGGAGTATCTGCTAAATCAAAGCATGTTTTTAAAAATTTTTATAGGCTCTGCCAAATTGTTATTTGAAACAATAGATCCAATTTTGTGTTCCCAACAATGTATTAGGTGCCTTTTTCTCCACACCCTTCACTATCTTAATTTTTGCATGATAGCCCCCACTGAAAAAATCTAGTTTTAATTTTCATTTCCTTAATCACAAGTGATGTTGAATCCCTCCTCACTGCTTTGACTCTCATATCTTTCTGAGAACTACTCCTATTCTCCATTTCTTAATTGTGTCAATTCTGTTATTTTTTACCTCTTTATACGTTACAAACTTTTTTCCCAGTCTGTCACCTTGTAATGTCTTTTGTCACACAGAAATGTCAACTTTGATAATGATCAAATTTATCACTCCTTTCCTTATGATTTTGGGTCTTGGTCTTTCCTAAATGGTCTACAAAAAAATCATATTTTCCAACATAATATATCCTCCAACATATTTCCCTTTATTTTCTTCTAATATCTTTATAGTTGTTTTGTTTTTGAGTTAGTTTTTTGAACCAAATAAAATTCATTTTGAATTTGGGGAAGTAAAATCTTTCTTCCCAAATAAAGAGTCATTTATCCCTACACAGTATACTGAACAATTAATTCCCAGCTGTATCAAAATACCAACTTTATTCAACCCTAAATTCCTATATATAACTGGGTCTGTTACTGGATTCTACTTTGTTCCATGTAGCAATTTGTCTATGCTTGTGCTCACCATTTATATTAGTGCAGCATTACAGTATGTTTTCGTATCTGGTATTATCCTCTATCACTACTTTTCCATTGGAAAAATTTCTTGGCCATTCTAGCACATTTCCTCCTCCAGATGAATTGTAGAAGCAATTAATCAAGTGCCCAAAAATAATTCTCACTGGGATTTTATGTGAACTACATAAAAATTACAGTTTAATTTGTAGAATATTTCAATGTTTACAATGATGCTTTCCCCTCTAATAACATGTAACATCTGCCCATTTATTTAGGTTAGCTTTCAAATTGTCCAGGTAAAGGTTCTTCTTCATAAAGTTTTTCTGCATTTGTTTCATTTTTAAACATCTTCTAGTTCTGTTGCTCTTGGGAATCAAATCTAACTTTTCTGGAGGAGTAATTACAAACTATTTGATTATTAGTAACCGTATACATCTTTCCACATGTTTAACAAACTATACTTCTATCCAGTGAACTGTCCACATCCTGTAACCACTTGTGTGTGGACTTTTATTTTCCTCACTGATCTGAGTTCCTTACATGTTGAAGATATTAAGCCTTCACTTACGTTTGTCATAAATATTTTCCTACTTTGTGGTTTGGCTTCTAATCTTAGGGTTTTGTTTTTCCTCTCTTCTTAAAGAAGTTTTAAATTTTTTTGTAGTCTAATATACTGATTTTTAAACTAATAACAGATCCGAGTACCCCAGAAGTGCCAGGACCTAGACCTCTTTCCCTCACAACACCTGCACAGCAGGTATTACTTTCCTCACTTAGAAGATTCTAGTTCAGGTCTGATTGCAAAGTCCTTGCTCTGCCCACCTCAACACACAAAACCCTCTCTTCCAGATGTTTAATATCTACTTCCACATTTTATTTATGATTTAGGGGGTATTCTTGCTGATTTATCATTTACTGTATTCCCATATTTTTGGGGTGCTGAATAGGCTCCAGAGACCTGTAGAGATATTTTAAAGCCAGCATGACACTGTTTTGAATGGGGTTCTATAACATGTTTAATATCAGATAGGATTCGTCCCACCTCATTTCTCATAATTCTGTCCAGTTCATCCCAAAATGGATAGCTCTATAATGTTTAAACATCACATCCAGGAACATGGCCTGTTTTCTCATTTAAGACATTCTTTCTTATCTTTCAGGATAGTTTATGGTGTCCTCCATGCAGACTGCACTTGTCTCGATAGAGCTGTACTTACAAGTTTTATGTTTTTTTGCATTGTGATCAGAGCCTGTTTTTTGGTTGGTTTTTTTCTTTTCCATTTTAGTTTCTGCCAGGTTATTTTTGGTATTCAGAAAGCTATGAATTTTATATATGCATCATGTACCCAGTCACTTCCTCAATTTTTCTTTGTATAATAGTTTTTTGTTGTTGTTGTTGTTATTCTCATTTTTGTAGCCAATAGCATCTACATATACTTCCCTTCATCTCATTTTGGATCCTTACCTCACTCTTCTTGCATGTTACTGCTTTAATAAAACTTACAAAATCCATGTTAAATAACTCCCCAATTTTTAATTTGACTCTGATAACTTTCTGTTAAGTATAGTGTGGATAATTAGCTTAATATTTCTGTAGGCACAAAGAAGTGCCTCCTTTTTAAAAATAAGAATTTTTTTTTTTAAATCAAATATCTATTTTGTTTGTAGTTTAGGTGGCAGTTTGAATTCAATATGAACTCCAAGGGAAAGATCACCTCTCTTCCAGACAGACTTCTGAAATGGCCTACCTAGTCTCCCCCACTTCCACTCCCCCCACACCACACCCCCACATTCTGCATGCAGCAGCTGGAGTGGCTTTTTAAAAATGCAAATCTGATTATGTCATTCCCCTGCTTCAAACCCAACCCTTGCAATGGTTTCCCATTTCACTCAGAATAAAATAAAACATCATTAACGTGCCCTACAAGACCCTACATGATCTGGCCCCCTGCCTAGCCACACTTCCCTCTCACCCACCAGAATCTATCCACAAGTCATTCTTTCAGTTCCTGGAATGGGCAAAGCTCTCTCCCCCTTTAGGGCCTTCCCACATGCCATTCCCCTGCCTGGAAAATTATCCCCCATCACTCTACGCTAACGCCTACTCACCCTTCAGATCTCAGCTCAAATCTTATTTTTGCAAAAAAAAAAAAAAAAAAAAAGTCTTTCCCAGGCCACCTTTTCACAATCTAAAATTTGCTCCCCTTTTTATACTCTCTCATAACCGGTACTACTTAACTTTCCTAACAGATACCATTTGTGATTATATGTGCTGTTGCAGGACTGCTTCATTTGTGGTCCCCTCCACCCCCATAGATTATAACCTCTAAGAGAACAGGGACAAATTGATTATGCTGGCCACACCACAAGCATTCATATATATTTGAATGAAATAAAAATACCTAAAAAACCCTTAATGGTATCTCTTACATCTTAAAACAATACCCATCATATCATTCAATCAATATTTAAACTGTTAAAACTCTTTTTGATACTGCCTACAAATTCAATAAGAATACACTTTACCCCAAGGACATAACAGCTAACCTGAATCTGATGCTGCCATAGGAAAATACATATATAAATTATATCACTAGGAAATGTTTAAATATGAGAGTTTTGTTTTATGTAGCATTCATTTTGCTGATACTTTATTCACAATCAACTAATTTATAGGTCTTATTTTTTAAAGCACATAAAGCACTAGGAAAAATGTGCTTTGTCAAATACTCTTTAAGAAGTCTAATGTATTAACAGTACTTGATAAAAATTATAGCAAAATCACAAACTAAAAAGCATTCAAAGTTGGTGATCTCTATTATTCTGTAACAGACACTTCTGGTCAAAAAAAGTATAAATTACATTGCAAATAAAAAATCCTTTTGGATCACAAAAGCTAACAAAATCAACATTTATATACTACTTTACATTCTGCAAAACACTTTCACATATGTCATATCGCTGAACTCTGTGGAGCAGACAGAGTAGGTATTATCAGCATTTATAGGAAAGAAAACTGAGGCTTAGAGTGATTGTCCTCCTCAAGGTCAAAGGACTGGAAAGTACTAGCGTCATAATTACATTGGGGGAGGGGTGGAGGTCCCACATGTAAATTTCTTAACCAAAGAGAACTTCCATCCTAAAGGCTTGTGTCTGTAATTAGTGTAGATTTATGCTCCCTTCACTGAAATTTCATTTCACCAGAGAACCACCACCGAAAGAGCTGCTTTAAATATGAAGCTGAAATTTAAATTGCCACCAATCTGGGAAATAAACTATGGTATACCCAAACTATGGAACATGATGAGCAGTTCTTCAAAACGAGGTAAGGCATTACATGCTGAAACTGAAAGATAAGAGTACACTAGTACTTGTTAAAACAAAGATAATACAAGTACACACACGGGGAAAACATTTTAAAAGATCTAGAAGAATACACATGGAACGTATAATAATTATCATCTCTGGAGACAGGGGTTGGTAGAGAAAGACTTCAGCCATGTCTATGATGTTTTAATTTTTACAAAGAAAATATATTACTTTACCTATTTAAAACTAATTTTTTAAAATTTAAATGAACCTGTGGTTTGAACAAAAATGTCATTTTTCTGCTCTAAAAGCTATGCATCCATAAAGGAAATCGGGGCCTCTCTAAAAGAGAAGACAAATATATTAAAAAAACGCTTCAATCCTGTTAAAACAATAAACCATCTAAATGTCACAAAACGTTCCTCTAAAAAAGCAGTAACTTAAATTATTTTTTAATACCTAGTCTCCTTTGTTGCGGTAAGACAACCAGTAAACAAACTAGCCACTGGAAGAGTACAGAGCAGGCTCCTCCTAGAGAGGTTTAGTTGTTAGAGTTCGGCAAGGAAGGTTTCACAAAGGAGCCGAGTTTTGAGGGAAATGAGAGGTGACTTGGCAGAGAGATGCGGGAAGATTAATCCAGATGGGAAAATGTCTGGGAGGTGGATATACTGAGTTAATCGGAAGCGGGGGACAGTAAGCAAACTGAAGTCAAGTCCTGAAAGAGGAGAGGATTCCTTTGGATGTGGGAGTTGAGAGGGAGCTCGGCTGCGCGGCCATCCAGTTTACCTGGGTGAGAATCCGGCCCTTGTTGTGGTCAAACAATGGAGGCGTCCAGCGGCAGCGACGTTCTGCGCTGGGTGCGCGAAAGGTTCCTCATCACCTGAGTAGGATGCTCGGCGGGCTCTGCTGAGACGCAGGGCGCTCTAAAAAACACAACATCACACCATGCAGCCGGGCTTCTCCGCGGCACAGCCCGGCTCCCTGCTCCCACGGCGCGGCCATTACCGCCTCTCCAGGGACCCGCCTGGAAAGGCTCCAAGGCGCGGCTTTACGGGCTTCTAAAGCGGTTTCGCTCCCCCTTCCCTCGGCTCCAACAACAATGGAGCCCGGCTCGGGAGTCCGGCTCCCGCGGGGCCCCCGCCCGGCCTCGCCCCTGCCGCTGCCCATCCCTCGCCGCGCACCCGGCAGCCATCTGTGACCCCCGCGCCCCGCTCCCGGCACTGCGGGCCCATGCCGGCCGGCCGGCCGAGGCCCGAAGCCAGGCTGCCCTCCGTGGGGCCTTGCCCGGTGGCCGCCAGGCCGCCCGGCTGCTGGGGGCCGCTCTGACCTTTCCCACCGACGCCCAGGGGCCGGCCCCGGCTCGAGGCCCATCCTAAGGTGATAGGTTGTTTTTCTTTTCTTTAACCCACTCATCCTCCTTCCAACCCCGAGCCCGCTCCCCTTTGGCCCCCGCCCCCGCCTCGTTCCCGAAAAGAAATAGAAAGACTGCAGCCCGGCCGCCCGACAACTCACTCCAAGTGAGGGGTTGAAGCGCCCCAGGCCGCGGGCTCCGCGCACCCACCCTCCCTCTCCTCAAGGGACACCTCACAGGTGCGCCTCCGAGCCGCGCGCGCGCGCTCCGCACACCCAGACGCCTCCGGAGGACAGCGCGCGTGCGCACGCACGGGGCCGACGAGCCCCGGGGGAGCGGG